AGTGGACAGCCTTGTCTTGTTCCTGATTTCAGTGGGATTACTTGAGTTTCTCTCCATTTTGTTTGATGTTGGCTATTGGATTACTGTATATTGCCTTGATTATGTTTAGGTAGGTTTCTTATATTCCTAATTCTCTCTAAGACCTTTATCATGAATGGGTGTTGAATTTTGTTGAAGGCCTTTTCAGCATCCAATGGGATGATCATGTGGTTTTCTTCTTTCAGTTTGTTTACATGGTGGATTACATTGATGGATTTTTATACATTGAACCATCCCTGCATCTCTGGGATGAATCCTAGTTGGTCATGGTGAACAATTTTTCTGATTTGTTCTTTGATTAGGTTTGCTAGTATTTTATTAAGTATTTTTACATCTATTTTCAGGAGGGATATTGGTCTATAATTCTCTTAGTTGTGTCTTTGTGTGGCTTGGGTATCTGGGTAACTATAGCCTCAGAAAAAAAGTTTGACAATGTTCCTTCTGTTTCTATTGTGTGGAATAATTTGAGGAGTATTGGTATTAGTTCTTCTTTAAACATCTGGTACAATTCTGCCTTTGGGCTTTTTTTTGGTTGGGAGACTATTGATAACTGTTTCTATTTCCTCAGATTATAAGTATATTTAGGTTGTTACCTGTTCTTGATTTAATTTTAGTATGTAGTACTTATCTAGAAAATTGTCCATCTCTTTAAAGTCTTCCATTTTTGTGGAGTACAGGTTTTTGAAGTATGACCTGATGATTTTGTGAATTACCTCAGTATCTGTTGTTATGTTCCCCTTTTTGTATCTGATTTTGTTAATTTGGATATTCTGTCTCTGATTTGGTTACTTGGATAAAGGTTTGTCTATTTTGTTGAATTCCTCAAAGAACCAGGTCTTTGTCTCATTGATTCTTTGTATTATTTTCTTTGTTTCTGTTTTATTGATTCCAGCCCTCAATTTGACTTTTTCTTGCAGTCTGATCCTTCTGGGTGAGTTTGCTTCTTTTTGTTCTAGAGCTTTCAGTTGTTCTGTTAATTCACTAGTGTAGGATTTTTCCAGGATCTTTATGTAGGCAGTTAAGGCTATGAACTTTACCTGTTAGTACTGCTTTCATTGTGTCCCATAAGTTTGGATATGTTATGTGGTCATTTTTATTAAATTTTTGGAAGTCTTTTGTTTATTTCTTGACCCAGTGGTGGTTCTCTTGATCATTGTTCAATTTCATGTGTTTGTGGACTTTCTGAAATTAATGTTGTTTTTGAATTCTAACTTTAAGCTGTGGTGTATCCAATAGGGTACAGACAGGGGTTTGTTCCAATTTCTTTTTGTCTGTTGAGATTTGCTTTGTTACCGAGTATGTGGTCTATTTTTGAGAAGATTCCATGAGGTGCTGAAAAGAAAGTATATTCTTTTTATGTTTGGGTAGAATGTTCTATAGATGTCTGTTAAGTCCATTTGAGTCATAACATCTGTTAGTTCCCTTATTTCTCTCATAAGCTCTGTCTGGCAGACCTGTCCAGTGGGGTGTTGAACTGTTAGTGTGTGGGGCTTGATTGATTTGTGATTTAAGCTTTAGTAATGGTTCTTTTATAAATGCAGGAGCCTTTGTGTTTGGAGCATAGATGTTCAGAGTTGAAATTTCCTCTTGATGGATTTTTCCTATAATGAATATGAAATGACCTTCTTTATCTCTTTTGATTGATTTTAGTTTGAAGTCTCTTTTGTTAGATATTAGGATAGGTAGCTACACCAGCTTGTTTCTTAGGTCCATTTGATTGGAAAACCTTTTCCTAACTCTTTACTCGGAGGTAATGTCTGTGAGGTTGAGGTGTGTTTCTTGTAGGCAGCAGAATGATTTCTGGTTTCATATCCAATCTATTAGCCTGTGTTTCTTTATAGGTGAGTTGAGATCATGGATATTAATGACCAGTGATTGCTAGTTCCTGTAATTTTTGTTTTTAGTTGTTGGTGATGGCATTGTGTGTTCAGTTCCCTTGTTTGGGGTTTGCTGCTATAAGCTCATCTACTTCCTGTGTTCTTGTGGATTTAGGTGAGTTCCTTGGGTTGACGTTTTCCTTCTAGTACTTTATGCAGGGCTGTGTTTGTGGATAGGTATTGTTTAAATTTGGTTTTGTCATGGAACATCTTGTTTTCTCAATCTATGGTTATTGAAAGCTTTGCTGGCTGGGTAAAGTAGTTTGGACTAACATCTGTGGTCCCTTGATGTCTGCATAATGCTTTCATCGTTTCTGTTGAGAACTCAGGTGTAATTCTGATAGTCCTGCCTTTATGTTACCTGGCCTTTCTCCTTTACAGCTCTTAATATTGTTTCTTTTTTCTGTGTGTTTATTGTTTTGAATATTATGTGACAAGGGAATTTATTATGGTCTAGTCTATTTGGTGTTCTGTAAGCTTCTTATATTTTCATAGGCATCATTTCTTCTATGATTTTGTTGAATATATTTTCTGTGCCTTTGAGTTGGACTTCTTCTATCACTATTATTCTTAGGTTCTGTCTTTTCATGGTGTCCCATATTTCCTGAATATTTTGTATTAAGGACTTTTGGATTTTCCTCTATTTTATCTTCAACATCTGGAATTCTCTCTTCTGTCTCTTGTATTCTATTGTTTACACTTGCATTTATGGTTTCTCATGGTTTACCCAGATTTTCCATTTCCAGGATTCCTTGGGTTTGTATTTTCTTTATTGCCTCTATTTCTGATTTCAAGTATTGAGTCATTTCCTTCACTTGTTTTTTATTGGTGTTCTTTAAGGGATTTGTTGATGTCTTTTAATATTTTTGCCTTTTCCTCCATTTCTTTAAGGGGATTTTTCTTTTCCTCTTTATGAGTCTCAGTTATCCTCATAAAGTTACTTTTTAGGTCATATTCTTCTACCTCACCTATGTGGGATGTTAGTTTCTAGTGGTGTCATAGTGCTCTTTATATTATTGGGTGTGTTCTTACCTTGTCTATGCAAGCTTGTGCTTCAGGGGTCTCTCTTTCTCCAGTTGGTATAGTTGGAGGCTGTGCCTCCAGTGAACATTCCTCCTGGTGGAAGTGGGCTCAAGGCTTGGGAGGCCACTCCTTAAGGTGTAGGTAGAGTTTCAGCTCTGGTGTACACCCCCCCCCCCTTGTTGGAGGTGTAGGGTGGCTGAGGGTCCAGTGATTGATATAGCAGCAGGTTGTTGCCAACAAGAAATGACAGAGAATGCTGTCTGGGACACAGGTGCTCTTTCCAGAAGCTACTGCTGGGACACTGCTGTCATTTCACCTAGCAGACTCTCCTTGCTCTTGTGGCTGAGGCTTAGGCCTACCTCTGATGTTGCTTCCTGCTGGTTGTCTTGCCTCCCACTGAGTCTGCTCCAGGCTTGGGGTGGGGGTGGGGGTGAGCTTCAGGCCCAGAGACTACTTTTGAATTGTGAACGCTTGGCTTTAGCTTAAATTTGTCCTACTACCTCTTACAACATAAATTAACCCACTTATGTTCATCTGCATTCTGCCATGTGGCTCTTTATCTCTCCTACATTCTGTATACCCAACTTCCTATGTCCTGCTGGCAAATCCACCCCACTTCTTCCCAGAATTCCCCTCTTTCTGTGGAAGCCAATTTTTTCCTGCTTAGCTATTGGCCATTCTTCTCTTTATTAAACCAATCAGAAGGTGCCATAAGCAAGAAAGATAAAACAGAGACACATCTTTACACAGCTTGTTCAAATATCTTGCAGCAGTAACCACCTTAATTTCCACCTAGGCAGTCTCGTTTGTTTGTTTGTTTGTTTGTTTGTTTTTGCCCAGCCCCTCACTCCTGGTTCATAAATCTTAACTGACAGTTCCTTCAGTTCTCTAAATTGTCATTGTGTAGTCTTTAAAATTTTTGTAAAAAAACCTGTTTTCAAAGCTTAGATTATCCAGCTATAATGTACTCCAGATATATAGGAAGCAGTGGCTAGAGAGCCACATAAGACCAGGAGCTAAACCAGGCCAGACAACATATGAGATGTATAAAAAGAATGACAGGCTAGTGGTGGCCTAATAGAGTTCCAGGACCCTTGTGACAGAGCAGGAGAACCAACTTCCACAAGGTGTTCTCTGACCTTCACATATGTACCATAGCATACACACAAGAAATAGCCCAAAACACACACGCCACATAAAATCACTCGGTGTTTTGGGTTTTGGTGTTTTTGTTTTATTTTCTGTTGTGTTTTTATTTTATTTGTTTTTTGTTTTGTTTTCCGACCTGGTCTCTCTCCATAAGCTCTGACTATCCTGAAACTCAAGAGATCTGTCTGCCTTTACATCCCAAGTGCTGGGATTAAAGGCAGGCACCACCACATCCAGCATAAACTTAAGTGGTTTTTTTTTTTTTTTTTTTTTTTTTTTTTATGAAAGAAAATTAGTATATAGTAGGATTAGAGTAACTTGGTATTAAGATGCTTTTCTATACTTTTTCATCTTAACCTGAAATATCAGTAAATGCATTTGTGTAGAAAGTTTTTGAGAAGATGTTTTGTACGTATATGTACTGCCTTAAGTCACACCCCCAATTTTAAAGCGTGTATTTATAGGAACTCTGTAAAACCTAATAGTATGAGCAAAGGATGACACTGTTGCCTCTCTTTTGCATTTTATACTATTGACCAGAATTTCCCATATACAGTTAAAATAAGATAACCAGTTATGTGAAATGAACACATACACAGGGTTTCTCTTTGTAACAGCTCTGGCTTTCCTGGAACTTGCTTTGTAAACCAGGCTGGCCTCAAACTCACAGAAATCTGTTTGTCTCTGCCTCCCCAGTACTGGGATTAAACCACTGCCTGACAAAAAAATTCTTTTGATTCAGTTTGTCTTCTTTGTGATTTAATGAAGCGATAGTCTAATACATAATTTTTCATTGAAAGGCTTTCATGTCCTTTTCTAACTGTTTTTTTTTTTTTTATAAACTGTCAATGTATCACTCCCCATCTTTTGTTTTATATTAATGTATTTATGTGTTTGGGGTCATTTGATTAGGCCTCAGACATTCCACAGCTACCTGGAAGACATCATTAACTACCGTTGGGAGCTTGAAGAAGGAAAGCCCAACCCTCTGAGAGAAGCCAGTTTCCAAGACCTTCCTCTCCGCACTCGGGTAGAGATCCTGCATCGCCTTTGTGATTACCGGCTAGATGCAGATGATGTCTTTGATCTTCTTAAGGTACTTCTCTAGAAAGCTTCTATTCTAGACCAGTAAAAAGCCAGCATTTTGAATGTAAAATCACAAAGTATTGAGAAGCAAGAATTTAGCTTGTTCATAGTAGTCTCTTAATAACTTGTATGCACAACCACGCCCCCTTGTGGCCAAAAGAATGTAAGCAATACAGGTGTATGGCTTGTAAGTTGTTTCTTTTCATTTCCTAAGCCCTAGCTCATACAGCTCATACTTGGAATCCTGTTTTCACACAGAAAAAAACAGCAGTGAATTTGACACTGAACTTTTCAGCTCTGGCTGTCCTGGAACTCCCTTTGTAGACCAGGTTGGCCTAGAACTCCCAGAGATCTACCTGCTTCTGCCTCCAGAGTGCTGGGATTAAAGACATATGCCACCACCACATGTCTTTGAAACTTTATTTTTTTATCCACATTCCAATTTAAAAACAAAAACACATTTAAGAAAGATGTGGAAAATTCTTCTTTCCTCCTTACTTTCTATTGCTGTTACCTGTTTTAGAAATATATTGCTGTTATCTGATACATATGTGGAATATGAATATATATATATATATGGAAAGGAGTTGGGTTAATGCTTACAAAAATGGGAATGTTGATTTCTTTCTCATCGTTTTTTGGTTTTTTTGAAATAGGGTTTCTCTATGTAGGAGTGGGTTGGCCTCTCTGCCTCCTGGGTGTTGGGATTAAAGGCGTGTGCCATTAAGGCTTGGGAGGTCAATTTCTTTTTTGTTTTTTTAGGAGGTTGGGGGTGAAACAGGATTTCTCTGTATTGCTTTGGAGCCTGTCCTGGAACTAGTGCTGTAGACCAGGCTGGCCTCAAACTCAAGGAGATCCTCCTGCTTCTGCCTCCTGAGTGCTGGGATGAAAGGCATGCACCACCATGGATGATCAATTTCTGATCCTACTCAATCACTTGATTAAATATAGCAATTCTCAATTGAGCTTTATGCACAGACACATAAAGATCATATAACTTAGTACAATTCCTACTTAGCACTTACAGTAACAGTGAGAAGACCAGTACAGATCATGCTCTGGAGCATTTCAGGAATTGCTTTACTGGATCTCAGCTGGACTAAGGAAAATGCTATGTTGTGCATAAAAATGGCTCATTGGTTAAAAGTCCTCACCAATCTTCCAGAGGACCCAAGTTCAGTTCCCAGCACCCACATTGGCAGCTCACAATTGCATGTAATTCCAGCTTCAGGGAATCCAGTACCCTCTTTGTTCTCCGTGGATACCCACACATATGTAGCATACAAACACACACATACAGGTGAGTAAAGAAAGTTTCTGTGAGTTGTGGAAAAGGTATGGTACAGAACCACATGAAGCAAACCCTTTAGAACATCTGACTGGGAGTATGCATAAAAGTATGATAGGAGCCCACGCCTGTTGAGCCTGTTATACAGTTCTGGGAGGCTGAGGCAAGAGGAGCACAGGGCTGTTCTCCACTACAGAGTGAGGCCTTGCAGTAAAAGAACTGAATTGAGTGTCCGACTGTACTAAGTGTGGCCATTCTTCCTTTCATGTGTGTACACTTAAGGTAGCAACTCTAAGCTAGAATTCTTTTTGATTCCTCTTTTTGTGAGTGTGAGCCAACCTTAGGAGCCATGGATGGGTATAGGGAACATCTAAAATCTCCTTGTCTTGTTTATCAAAGAAAGTACCTCTTCCCATTCTGTTCTGTCTGTATTTCATCAATCCTGAGAGAAGATTATATATAGCATATTAGCATTTTAAAATATGAGGTGTGTCTGATGTAAATTTTGGATTGTCATTTCAGTTTTTTCCAGTTTTATGTTGTTCATTTTTACAAATCCATTTTCCTGTTCTGCCCAGGGTCTGGATGCAGACAGTCTCCGAGTGGAGCCCCTGGGTGAAGATAATTCAGGTGCACTCTATTGGTACTTCTATGGGACACGGATGTACAAAGAAGACCCAGTACAAGGAAGGTCCAATGGAGAACTCTCCTTGAGCAGGTACTGTCTCTAACAGAAGACTTATGATGACTGCTTTATTTAGAATGCTATGAAAAAGACCAGGTGTGGTCTTGCATGCCTTTAATTCAAGCATTTGGAAGGTAGGGGTGTGTGTGTATGCGCACGCGCGTGTGCGTGTCTGGGGCAGGTGCTGTAAAAGTTAATGTATCACAATTACATAGCACTTTGTTTTTTCCAATGCAATAGTTACGTGTATTGGCCTACCTGCAACAGGATGGCAAGAGTTCCATACTGAAACACAAAGGAATTACTTAATAGCCTTTAGCACAAGACTGTGGTGAAAAATAATGTGATCTGAACTTGAAGTGTTTGTAGTTGGCATTTTCATTGGGTCACCAACCAGCTCACAGATAAAGACTTGGAAACTTGTTAATTATGAATGCTCAGTCTTAGCTTAGGCTTGTCCTGCTACCTCTTCTACATTAATTTAACCTGTTTGTATTCTGTGTTTTGCCCTGAGCTTTTTACCTTTCTTTCATTCTGTATGCCCTACTTTTCCTGCCTCCTCTTGGCTGGCTGGCTAGCCACCCAAGTTCATTTTCCTACTTAGTCTCCCTGTCTGCAAGCTCCACCTATACCTCCTCCCTCACTATTGACCATTCATCTTTTTATTAGACCAATCAGGTGCCTTAGATAATGTAAAACAAGCAACACATCTTTACATAGTTATACAAATACAAATGCAATTTTGTCTTTTCTTAGCTAAACAAATATTCCACTACAGATATACACAAGAGATTCCCAATCAGTACTTGCACAGTTCCACAGACTGTTTAATACAGCAAGCTTTGAGTACTCCTTTTTTTTCCTATTAGAGTTGATAATCCACCTTAGGAACTTGAGGATCCTTCATCAAGTGCTTCCTAAATAAGCAGAGGCCTCATTTACAAGGTGGCTAGAATGATGCTAAGCTCTGGTTTATTGAGACTTCCTTATTGCTATGAGCAGTACTTGCTATATGAGCAAGGGGTTAGATGTTACATTTTCATAAAATGTCAGTTTTCCTTGATTTTTCAATTTGGTAATCCTTCTATAAGAACAATCACATTGTCTATTCCCTGTTTCTGCTTTGTTGTATAAACCATTTTTGTATCCTTGTGGTAGAGAATAATATAATTACTAATACAAAAATCATGTTAGTTGTTAGTACCATGCCAGAACATTCCTATATAACCATACTGTTTCTTAGGGAAAGTGAAAGACAAAAAAATGTCTCAAATGTTCCTGGAAAAACAGGCAAAAGAAGAGGAAGGCCTCCAAAACGAAAAAAAGTACAGGAGGAGATTATATCGAGGTAAGAAATCTCATTGGTCTGTATTAATAGCTCTCATACTGGAAGGAACCTTAATTTCATCTCATCCTTTGCTTTATTATTTTTACTTGTGAGTGGACAGGACATAGGTCATAGCTTATGGAGACCTGAGTTAGAGTTCACATTAAATTGTCAAGCAACCCTGTCTGCATGACCTCTATCAAGTTACCTGCTCCCTGAGCCTCTTAGTTTATTGGCTGATGCCTATTCATTTAGTGAGGTTTAAACTGAACAGGACAACACCTGGCAGCACAAGAAAATGAAGGCTATGATATTTGATAAACATTCATTTTAGTGTAAATTTTAAATGTGTTATACCACAGGAAAGTGAATCAAATTAATTCCTGATCATTGTTATAGGCTATGAATATAGTGCAGTGCTAGAATACAGAAGGACCTGGGTTCCTTTCCCTATCATACTCCCACCAAAGCACTGGCTAGTTAGTCTTTTAATATCATCCTAGGTTTAGAACTTAATTCTTTTATTGCAGTAATTAAGGTGCCTGAAACATGTACATTCCTACAGTAACTAGAAATATAAAATGTAAAGTATTTTTGAATCTTTTATTTGGCATTTAATTTTAGAAAGAAAAATACATTCACATCTGGGAAATTTCATGCATCATTACTTTTTTATATGTCATTACTTTTGTGTGTGAGACACACACACACACACACACACACACACACACACACACACACACACACATGGAGACCAAAGCTTGATGTTGGTGTCTTCCTGCATTAGGATTATGAGACACCATACCTGGCTGTCTTAGGATTTCTGTTGCTGCAATGAAACACCATACCCAAAAAGCAAGTTGAGAAGAAAGGGTTCATTCAGCTTACATGTCCACATCATAGTCCATCATTGAAGGAAGCCAGGTTAGGAACCAGGAGGCAGAAGCTTATGCAAAGCTGGTAGAAGCATGCTGTTTACTGTCTTTCTTAATAGAATCCAGGAACACCAGCCCAGGGATGGCACCACCTGGGCTTTCTTCCATTGTTCACTAATTGAGAAAATAACATACAGTTAGATCCTATGGAGGCATTTTCTCAATTGAGGTTCCCTAGTTTGTGTCAAGTTGACACAAGTCAGCATACTGGCTTTGCTTTTTTAAAAGAAATATAGGTGCTAGGGTTCAAACTAGGCTTCTTAACATTTCTAGTAATATAATAAACAGCTTCTTCTTTTGAGATTAGAAGCTGTACTTAATGGCAAATCAGGTTTTGGTTTTGTTTTGTTTTTTTCCTCCCCCTAATAACAGAAATATTCCTAGGTTGAGGCAGGAGGATCCTAGTTTGGATTACAAGGTTGTCATAAAGAGGATGGGAATGGAAAGGCTTGTTAAGAAATCACATGGGTGAGCCAGTTAAGAGCATGGGCTGCTCTTCCAGAGGTCCTGAGTTCAATTCCCGGCAAAAATAAGGTGGCTCACAACCATCTGTAATGAAATCTGGTGTCCTCTTCTGGCCTGAAGTCCACATTGTAGACAGAAAACTGTTTCATACCTACTTTAGTGTGGGAATTTAGAACCATTGTATTGGTGCACATGCACTGTACTATCCTCTACTGGTAAGTGACAGAGGCAGTTCAGCTTCATAACATCCTCTTGGCATCTTCCTTAGATAAGGGTGAGGCAACATGTCCTCCCTAGTGTATCTATGTGACAGAGAGAATCTCGACAGTATAATTTCTCTCTTCATTGGTGCTGATGCCATAACCTTGATGCTTGGGTTTCAGTCCTTCCATTTCCTGCATCAAGTCTACCCAACATTCTACTTTTATTTCTCATTTGACAGCTCACCCCATCTCCAAACGCCATTGTGTTAACTGGGTCCATATCTGCAAAAAAGATCAAACAAATTGGGCATACCAGTGTCTTGTTTTAATTGTTTTTCTCTTTTTCTTGTGTTTTAGTGAAAAGCAGGAAGAAAATTCATTGGTATCTGATCTGCAGACAAGAAATGGTAATAATGGTCTTTGTTGCTGTGTACAAATTCATACGTATATTACAGTGGTATCACTTTTCCAGTCATTCAGTAGTTAGGATGAGTCCAGCAGTCTCCAATGTTTTGTTCCGTTTCCTTCTTTCCCCATCCTCCACCTCATAGACACTTTAGATCGGCATTAGTTCTGTACTGTACCTTGTGCAGTATATTAAAGACTCAGACATTTGGGTAGGCAAGTAGCTTCTTAGAGAGCTGCCTTTTAATTATCAGTGACCTGAAAAGTGTTGCATGCGTGCATACATACATGGTTAGATTTTGTTACACTATTATTTTATATGTCTACTATTATACTATTATTAATTTTTTTTTTTTTTTGGGAGACAGGGTTTCTTAGTGTGTAGCTTTGGCTGTCCTAGAACTAGCTCTATAGACCAGGCTGGCCTAGAACTCAAAGATCCTTCTACCTCTGTCTCCTGAGTGATGGGATTAAAGGAACATGCTATGCCTGGACTCTGGTTAGATTAATTCTTTAATCCACATCTTTTAAATTTGGAGGGAAATAACCAATTTGCAGTGTCATAAATGAGATAAGAAATACATTTCTACAATCTCGGTTTCAAAGCCATTTTTTTTTTAGAAAAGTAATGTGTTTTTATTAGTTTTAAGCATTTCTAGAATGTTAAAATTTTCTTTAAATCACAATCATTTTGTTTTTGTGGGCACTTGTCTAGTTAAAATTACAGAAATAGTATGCATAATCCCAGCACTTGGGAAGCAGAGGTGGTAGATCTCTGTGAGTTTAAGCTAGTCTAGTCTATGATGAGACTCTTTCCTTTAAAAAAACAAAACAAAACAAAAAAGTATAAATTGTCATGCAGACATTGTGTAAAGTGCTTGTAATCCTAGTGGTTGGACGTTTTCACAGTCTATAGTGAGATCCCATTCTTTTTTTCTTTGTAGGGTCCCGAGGACCAGGCCAAGGTACTTGGTGGCTCCTGTGTCAAACAGAAGAAGAATGGAGACAGGTCACTGAGAGCTTTCGAGAGAGAACTTCTCTCCGAGAGCGCCAACTCTACAAGCTCCTCAGTGAGGACTTCCTGCCCGAAATCTGCAACATGATTGCCCAGAAGGTAGAGCCTGATGTTAATATTGCATCTCATTCACCTGCTGTCCTTATCTTGCAGATGGTTTATAATGTCTTCCTTACTTCTAGAAGTCTGTGTCCAATACCCTTAGAATGACCTTTTGCGGAGTGAAACTATTGAAGTTTAATAAGGATCAGGAGAAACAGATAGGCCGATTAGATGTTTATTCGGGGAGAAATAACTTACAACATAGACAGATAAACACCAGCAGGTTCCTGGTCCAAAGGATGCCTCTGGATGTTCTCCTGTCCCAGAGCTGCAAGCAAGAGAGCTCCTTGAGCCCCTTCCTCAGATTTAATTCCCCCTGGCAACATCAGTCCCTGTCCACCCCCCATGGGCATGGTCTGTGCCACAGGTGTGGACAAAGTGAAAATCTCACTGGAACCAGGTTTCATTTCTCTGTAACTATCACCAGGAAACATGGCCTGAGTTTGTTCTCCTCTGCTCCCCAATAAAAATAATTTTAGCACCTACCTTGTATTTCCCTCACAGCATCAGTTTTTGGTGAACATTTGTCCTGGTAGGCCTGTGCCAGTTCTTGCCAGATTCCACCTGAGCTGTTTGTGGTTTCTTTGACTCCAGGATAAACTACATGAACCATATATACCTTATTTATACATGGCATTTTCAGACATTTTTCTGTCCCTTTTTTCTCTCCCCTATGGATGTCGTTTACAAGCCTCATTTCAGATTGGAGAGATGGCTTAGGAGTTAAAAGTGCGCACTGCTCCAGTTTCCAGCACCCATGTCAGATGACTTAGAGCTGCCTGTAATTCTACCTCCTGGGGATCCAGCGTCTTCTGAACTCCATGGGCACCTGCACTCGCGTGCACACTCGCCCCGCCCCCATCTCTCTCTCTCTCTCTCTCTCTCTCTCTCACACACACACACACACACACACACACACACACACACACACACACACACACACTTTGTTTTTAAACCAGGTGTGATGACACTTAATAGTCCTAGTGCTCAAGTGGATAAGGAGGAGGTTCATGAGTTTGAGGCTAGCCTAAGCTACATAGTTCCAGCCATCCTGGGCTCTAGGGTGAGACTTATCTTTTTTAATTACTTACCCTTCCGTTATTTTATGCATTTATAATACACTTTTTTTTTTAAATAATATACTTTCTTAATACCCCCAACCTCATCCAGGTTGCCCTCTTTTTACTTCCCTCTTATACCTATTGAAGCCCTTCCTCCCAGTAAGGCTCCCTCTGCTTTCATCTTTTCTTATGACCCACTGCATTTAAGCAGCTTACTATTGGCTACACCCATTAACTGTCTGTGTCTCTTCAGGTAGGGAATGATATACCCAGGGACACTCCATTGGAAAAAACTGACCCCTCACCTCCCCTTTTCCAGCATGTATCAGTTGCCAACAGGTTCTTGATTAGGAGTGGGACTTTGTGTTTACTTCTCCTTCTCAGTGTTTAGACTTCATTGATACCTTTGTCCTCATTCCTTATAAAATTAAACAGTATCACTCAGTAGTCCCCAAGTCAGCTTCTTAATACTGGCATGTAAGAGCTACCTACACCAAGTGAAAAGTACATTATAATCCATCAAGTCTAGGCTAAACCTAGACTATTAATGTTAATAATGCTATTTTGGAAGCCCTTGTCCAGTATAACAGCCACAAATATGATAACTCCTAGGACCTAAGTATACTTGGCAAGTGCTTTCCTTGCTGAGCTGTACCCTCAGCCTCTAACAAACAAGAGTAAACAGAATGTAAAATGCAACTCTGTGGAATGTTGTGTAGAGAACTATAAATGTGGTTAAAATGTATGTTAAATAGGACTTCTTGCTGGTGCTAGATGACTAATGTAGTTACCAGAATCCATTGCCATCTTTTGTAGACAACATGTTCTCCCTCTTGAGATCCTTTGAAGTGATATCTGTCATCCTATAGGTTTACAGCCTGCCTGAGTGACTCTGCTGTATTTAAAATAGCCAAGTGGTGGAGGCATATACATCTAATCCCAGCACGGGGGAGTCAGGGGCAAGTGGAGCTCTGTGAGTTTGAAGCTAGCCTGGTCTAATGAGTGAGTTCTAGGACATAGAGAAACCCTGTCTCAAAAACTAAACAAAAAATTTCTAAAAGTCATTGAAAATTCATTTATAGTACTAGCAAGTTTATCAGTAATCTTGGAGTTGTACATATTTTATATGAAAAAACTGTTAGTATATATTTTCAAGTTCTTTTTTAAAATAACTAATTTTTAAAATATTGTTTAAATATGGTGTTCTATTTGCATATACACCTGCGTTCCAGAAGAGGGCATCTATTTATTAAGAACTATCTGTTCTTAAGAGGAAAGCTTAACTGTTAGAGCCCATCACATCACTGTAGTCTGAGCCTTTTCCCAGCATAATAAAACTTTTCCTCCAAAGCAGAAATTAATCTATATAAATGCTATAACAAGCCTGAGCATTTGAAGCCAGCCTGGGCTACATAGTAAAACCTTGTCTCATAAGTATATATTGAATGTAGTGAAGGAGAAACATTGTATGACTGTAGTGTTTTTAACAAATGAGTCAGTTTATTGGAAGCATTCTCAAAGGACCTTCATTTAATAGTTCTTGCAGAAATGATTTTCTCAAAGCTATAGAAATACTCATCTGTATAGTAGTCTTTGCTGTACTTGGCATTTAGCACTTGAGTTATTTTCATCATACTATTATGTTTTTATGAGTCTCTTTGTATGCACTGTATTTCTTTAAAATTCTTTGGGCTGGCCAGGCATGATTGAACATGTCTTTGTTGAGATTATAATTGTGTTACAACATTTCTCCCTTCCCTTTCTCCAAACACTCCCATATAACCCTCCCTGTTCTTCAAATGTATGGCCTCTTTCTTTTTAATTTACATTCTAAATACACCTGCTCAATTCATGCAGTGTTGCTTGTGTGAATGTGTTCAGGGCTGAGTGTTTGGCCCTGGACAACCAGTTGGTGTCTTTTCTCTGAGGAGGACCATCTCTCCCACTTCCCAGTTTTCCAGCTTTCCTCGGTTGCCCATAGTTCTTGTTGGGTTGAGGCCTCCTGAACTTTTGACATGTCCATTGGTGTTGGTGTTCAGCTCATGTTTGGGCAGTGAGGTGTTATGGTTATAGCTTCTGGCTCTTACAGTCTTCGCTCCCACCCATCCCCCCCTACAGTGTTCCCTGGGCTTGTGCCTTTTATCCTATTCAGAGGATCTACAGAGTGAGTTCCGGGCCCGAAAAGGTTACATAGTGACATCCCTGCCCTTGGGAGGCAGAGGCAGGTAGTTTTCTGAGAATTTGAGGCCAGCGTGGTCTGTAGAGCTCTAGGACAGCCAGGGCTACACAATTACTGTATAAACCCATACTATTTCATAAACAAATGCTCTGAGAATATTTGTTTTTTTAATATACTGATAATATGTGACACCTTCCTAAAGCATTTAATGTGGATTAAATTATTGTTACTACAAAGTGGTGACTCACGCCTTTAATACCAGCACTTGGAGCAGAGGCAGGTGGATCTCTGAGAGTTGGAGTCCAGCTTGGTGTATAGAGTGAGTTATGGGACAGCCAAGATTGTTACAAAGAGAAACCCTGTCTCAAAAAAAAAAAAAAAAAAAAATTATTGTTACTCAATATTTGCTTACAACTATTATGGTATAATAGAATTTTATATAAACATCAATTGTAAATAAAGAAATGGTAGGTAACCTGTAATAGTTAAAGAATGCTATCATTTATTTTTAATTATATTTAAAAATTATTGGGTTTACATGGTAACCTATGAACATCTATGGAGACAGAGTTTATAGAATTGTAAATTAATTTTCTTGCAAAAATGTAACTACCAATATTTATCATCTTTAATGTTGCTGGAGATTATCCACCTTAATGACTATGCCAGTTTCTCTAATGATATATTTGTGTCTCCCCTGCCGTTTTTTTGTTTTGTTTTATTTTATTTTGTTTTGTTTTTTTAGTTCAATAAAACATTTGACACTTGTTCACTTTAAAAAACCAAAAAGGGCAGGGGTTGTAGACGACTGAAAAGTAATTGTTAGTGGATGGTGGCTTATAAACATTAGGAATGTTGTCTACACAACATTGGTTGTGGTGATGCACAGATTTTAGCTCAGCATTCCTACCATTTGAGAGGCAGAGGTAGTCAGATTTCTTTCTGTACATTTGAAGCCAAAAGCTGGTAATAATATATGCAGGGAACAATCACCCTCTGTATCAAATATAGCATATCCTTCTTTCATCTAATGTAGCAAAGTTGGGAGTGAAACTGGTGTTGGCTTCTTTTGCTATTTGTATGGTAAATTGGCAAGATTTCCTTTGGAAACAGTGCTGTGCTGGGGTTATATCTTAAGTGTAAGAGATAACTCCTACTTGGATTGTGAACTTCATAGAGGAGATGCTGATAAGCTTGGTGAGGAGGAGACTGCCTAGGGAGATTTGAAGAGGTACTTGAAGAGGATAGAGGATCATGACATCTTTGGTACTAGTGATTGTGTTTCCTCTGGGAATTGCTTATCCTATCGTAAAAACAGAAAAGCTGTATTTGCAGTGTGCCTAAACAGTCTGAACCAGTCCTTGTTGTCATTGAGAAGTTTGTTGTTTTTTATCCTCTCTTAGTTTGCTTATTCTTCAAAGTCTTATGACTTTGTATTAAGCATTTCTGGGACCAAATCCCGGCTCCCAATCCGTGTGTGTAGGGGTGGGAGAGTAGGGTGCGTGTGTGTGCATGCTTGAAAGCACAAATGAGTACCTAGAGCTTTTAAGTTTTTATTACACTTTTATGTGTGTGTGTGTGTGTGCCACTGCACCAAGTATGTTTCAAGGATCAAACTCACATAGTCAGGCTTGATACCAGGTGCCTATAGCCTCTAAGCCCTTTAAGGGATCATTTGATTTCAGGTGCTCCTAGTGCCCCTTTCAGAACCATTCCTTCCCTCAGGTGAATTGATTAAAATGGGTTTTTTCTTGGTCATTTAAAGAGGGGTTGGGTTTTTGTTTGCTTGTTTGTTTTGGGGGGTGCTGTTGTTCTGGGGGGGTTGTTTGTTTTTGTGGTGGTGTTTGGTTGTCTACCCAAGGATGCCCTGAAATTCAGAGTCTTTCCCTTGCTTCCCAGATGCTGAGGTTATTAAATGTGCCTATCACATCCAGCTGGAGAAGGAGTTTGCCTCAGGTTGAAACTAATCTCTCTGGCCAGTGATGAAGATTTTAATAGGAAATTCTTGGTTGTCAGTGGCTTTTGAATTGCTACTTGTTAAGAAAATAGACTGACTTTACCCAGCTGAATAGTTTTCCCTTATCATCCTAAAAGATGGACACCTTTGGCCCCCATCAGATAAATTAGTCACTGGTGTGCCTCAGTGGCCATTCTGATGCTGGTGGCCACAGCAGCAGCAGTAGCATAGCTGAGAACACCCTAATCTATCTTTTCCTTTCTTTTCCTCACTTCTAACTGTAGGGAAAACGTCCACAGCGCACAAAGCCAGAGTTCCAACATAGGTTTATGTCTGACCACCTGTCCATCAAATCCATCAAGCTAGAGGTGAGTGTATTGAGAGTAAAAAAGTGTATTTGAAAAGGGTAGTTCCATTTCATTTCACATGCTTTTATCCTTTGCCCTTAAAAAAAAAATCTCAAATGTTCACTAAAGATTTAGGATTTTTAGACAAGGTTTTGTTCTGTAGCCTTTGCTGTCCTAGAACTTGCTCTGTAGACCAGGCTCGTGTTAAACTGTTAGAGATCCACCTCCCTCTGTCTCCTAAGTGCTGGGATTAAAGTTGTGCACTACTACCGCTAAGCTTCAAGAAAGATTCTTAGTATGTATAGTGTTTTTCCTGAAAAAGTAGATAAAAGAATGGAAGATTGGGTGACATTCTTTTTATCTTAAATATTTCTGGGTGGCAGGCACATGTTCAGTCTAATAGAGATCTGGTTAAGTTCTGTGATAAGGAAGTTCATGAATGCAAAGATTTGAAGCCAGGGAAAGAACGGTCGATTCGATTTAGGCAGACAGAGGTGTTTGACTTTAGAGTGTGGGATGGCTAGATTTCTGATGGTGAGCAGTGGGTGTGGAATTAAAGCCTTCCTCACAACAAAAGCTGCAAGGCAGCAAATGGAATGCCATGTCAAAGATGAGGGTGTGGCTGGCATGTTGTGATATTTCGTGGGGAAATATAAATAACTACTTCTGGAGTCTACAGCTCTCATGCTGTGTTGAGTAGGAATGAGAAATGAGGCTGTTGTTAGGTGCAAGTGGTGCAGAGATGAGCTGCTTAAGAAGCAAGTGCTTGCCTGGAAGTTTAGCTGATGACTTTTTCTCCTAAGATGGAGGGCACAAAAGTTCCCATTCTGTCACTGCACCTCTCTCCGATCCAGGGTCTGTCCAAAAAGGCTTTTATAGCATGTTGCTAGTGTACTTTGTGCTCTCAAAGCCTGGTTAGCTATCATATTCTCTCTCCTGTTTATCTCCTCCTGACACTATATTCCATTGCATATGTAGTAAGGTTAGTAGTCACACAAGGGTCACAATTGTTTTTGCTCTGTCACCATGTCTTGTGCTAGCTTATGAAGTTGGGGGGTCCTCTTTGCCTTGCATTTACATGTCAACATGAGACTTTGTGCTCTTTGTAAATTTTTATTGACTTTATTTTTATTTAGCCCGAACATCATAATAGCATAAGCTTATACAGTCCTACTACTGTGGAAAGCAAATTGAGGAGGATCATAAATTCAAGGTCAATCTGGAGTGAGATTCAAACCTCCCTCATATAAATAAGGAAGGGGCATTCCTTAGCTTTTACAACTCTTTTGGGTTTTTCAAAACAAAAAGTATTGCTTATGCAGGCCAGGTTTGTTCAGGCTCACAGCTTTGCCTTCGACACCTGGTGCTAGGAGGTGAGCACCACAGGTGGTTCCTTCTTTTTTTTTTTTTTTTTTTTTTTTTCTCCCCCTTTCGTTTTTTTGTTCTAAGCAGGGTTTTTCTGTGTAGTAGACCTGGTTCTCCTGGATCTCACTCCGTAGGCCAGGCTGGCCTGGAACTCAGAGATTCGCCTGCCTCTGCCCCCGAATGCTAGGTAACACTAAAGGCGTGCAGCACCACTGCCCGGCACGTGGCTCCTTCTTAACCCCTACATATTTCTAGTTGACAATTCTGCAGTGATTGCCTTGCTGCCAGTTCCCTGGTAGTCCTCAGCTTGGGAGTGGCCTGTTGCTGGTACCCACTTTGGTTCTGACTAGCTTCCAACTCCTCCTACCTTGGTAGGTTCTTCTTACTCTTTATTACCTTGAACCTCCTTGAAAGCTGTTTTCTTTCTGCTCACTGCTTCAGGGAGTCTTTCATGCCCTAATTCATGCCCCCAGATTACCTGGCAGTCACTAAAACCTCTACATAAGTGCAAGCCACTCATTTCTTTTCCTCTCTTTAGGAGCTGTTATTAAATTCTGTTGCTTAGTTTGATCTTAGCATTAACAAACTATGCTATGTAGTTTGTCTGGTGACACCTGTTATTCTAGAGAAACTGACTTTGCTTCCAAAGCAGAAAGTCTTTTGATTCTTTTTTGTGTATACAGGTCTCAACCTCCCAGGATTCCAATACTAATTGCCTCGAAGAGTCTTTTAATTGTGGCTTCTGGGAAGAATATCAGTGCAGAGACACTGATAAGCCAGGGAATAAGGGCTCCTGGGATATTTTTGTCAGTAGGCCCTACTGGGTGTCCAGAGAGCAGTTTTAGGATGGTGTGGTCTCAAGTGTGCTCCTGGTGGCAAGGATAAGAGTTAATGCCTTGGGGTAGAGAGCGTGGGCACTGCTTCAGCTAGAGCTTCTCGTTAATAATCCTTTGGAGATTTCACAGTGGCTCCTTGGTAGCATCTCATTAAGATGCCTTCATGATTCTAGTAGGTCTCTTTCTTACCTGTAAGGCATTTATTTAAACACCAACCACTATAGCATTTGCAGCTGACTCTGTCTTTGTAAGAAAGGGTCTTAACTAGATGGCTCTGGTTGTCCTGAAACTCAAAGTATCACCCAGGGTGGACTTGGACTCCTGATGGTAATCCACTTAATGTGCTACCACATCCAGCTGGCCTCTTTTACAGGGGAAATATTGGCAATGTGAGACAGTCTGAGAGGCTGAAAAGATGGCTACATGGCTAAGAGTACTTGCCGTTCTTAGGATCAGAGTTTGGTTTCCAGGATCCATTTTGTGTGGCTTACAACCACCTCTCTAGCTCCAGGAAATCTGGTGCGCTCTCTGCCCTATATAGAGACACATGCATGTAAATAAAAATAAAAAAGTTGACATACACCTTTTAATAATCCCTGTACTTGGGAGGCAGACCTATGAGGTTAAAGCCAGTCTGGTCTACATGGAGAGTTCCAGGTCAGCCATAGTGAGACCCTGGATCAAACAAATCTTTTTGTAGAAAAGACAATGAGACTCACACATACACACAGTGGTTAGTAATTTGTACTTCTTGTTGTTGTTTGTTTTGTTGGAGGGGGGGAGGTTGGGTGTCACGTGGAGGTAGGACGATAACCTGCTATTTCTCTTTGGTCCGTCAGGGTTAGCAGCAAGTATTTACCATGGGTTCTATTAAGTTAAAACATAAGTGAGTTCTGAGAGCTCAGCACTGGCTGCTCTTCTAGAGGACTTGGGTTTTAAAGGACCTGGATTTTGGCTCCCAGCACCCATGTTTTGGGAGGATGTAATGCTCTGTCTTTAACAAGCATGAGGTGCATATACATAACATGCGGGCAAACATTCACATAAAATAAAAATAAATAAAATCTTTAAAGAAATGAGTCCTGGGGCTGGAGAGATGGCTCAGTGGTTAAGAGCCTTGGCTGTCCTTCCAGAGGACCTGAATATCCAGCATCCACATGATGGCTCACAACCATCTGTTATGAGATCTGGCACCCTCTTCTGGCTGGCGGCAATGCAGACAGATGCAGTACACATAATAAATAAATAAATCTTAAAAAAAAAGAAATGTTTTGTTTTCTTTTTAAAGAAATGAGTCCTAACAGGGAGGAGAAAAAAGTAAGTCCTTTGCTTAGGTTGTCTCATTAGCACATACTTTGTCTTGAAATGGAAGCATTGTGAAAATAAGCTCAGAGATTTTCAGTGCAGAGCATGGGTCACCTCCCACCCCTCACCCCCAGATGTTTTTTCAGATATCACTTCTGTGAAGTAGCTGTAGAGATTCACATGAGGAAACAGATCCAGGAGATGTGATGCAAAGATGGATTTTTACCCATTATGGCATGGAAGTGATTCTAGATAAAGTGATCTGAGAATAGAGGGAATGAAAAATAGAGGTAGAATGCTGCCTGGCATGGTTGCTGTTCCTGTAATCCTAATATCAGAGGCAGAAGCAGGGTACTCACTGGAAGTGGGTGGCTGCCATGATCTACACAGTGAGTCCCAGGCTAGCCAGGGCTAAATTGTGAGATTCTTAAAAATCAAATTTAGATGGAGAGGCCCTAACCCCAAGACAAAGCCACAGTCAAACAAAGGCAAGCAAGCAAAGGGAGGTGTGGGTTCTTACCTCAGTTGACAAAAACGATTAGGAGAACTTCCAAGTTTGGCTTTAAAGATGTTATAAATTCAGGTCACTTAGTTGTTAATGTTTAGTATGCTTACCATGTGTATGTACAGCCACTGTAACATAGATAACAAAGCTTCAAGCTGAAGATCAGAACAGCAAAGCAGCCAGTCACTAGCTCCAACCTCTAGCTCAGACTGAAAGGCGATCCTGACTCCACCAAACCTCAGACTGTAATCCCAGACCGCTGTGCTGTCTTCAACCACGCTGGAGAATCCTAAGACTGGAATGTCTTCCTATCCTCTGTGGCTGCAGAATGAATGCCAGCTCTGAGACCCTGTTCCTGTCTTACACACCTCCCTGATGCTGGGGTAACAGGCATGTGATCTCAGGTGCTGAGATGAAAAGGCGTGAGCTCTGTTACTCTTTATTCCTGTGTGGGCCATAGTGGCCTTGAACTAACAGAGATGGGTCTACCTCTTGATTGTGAGTCCTGGGATTAAAGGTGTATGCCACCACTGCCTCTCTCTACAGCTTGAGGCTGACTTTGCTTTCTGAGTCCTCAGGCCAACTTTAATAAATCATAAATAATATATCACCACACACCACACCACCACCTCAGTCTCCTATCTTGTTACAAAGTCTCACACTCTGTAGCTCAGTTAGTCTGGAACTAAATGTAGAGACCAGGCTGAATTCCAATTTACATAGATCCTGCCTCTTGTTTCCCAAATGCTGGGATCAAAGGCGTGCGACACAATACCTGTTGACCATAGTAATATATTTAAAAATCAGTATGCCAGCAGGAATGGTGAGCATTTATAATCTCATCATTTGGGAAGTGGGAAAAGGAGAATTGGGAGTTTGTCCACTAGAGCCACTCTTTAGTGACTATTTCTCTCTTTTTTTAAGAATAGAAACTTTTTTGGGTGGTTTGTTTGTTTTGCATTTATTGTGTTTGGGGGTGGGGAGGATCATGAGTCACAGCACCAGTGGTAGACCAGAGGACCGTTTGAGGAAGGGGGTCCATTTTCTCTCTATCGTGTGGGCTCCCGCATTGAACTCAGGTTGTCGGGCTTGGTGACAAGCACCTGTACTCATTGACAGGATCTCATGCAGCTCAGATTGGTACTTGAGGATTACTTCCTGACTACAGGGATTATAGATCTGTGCCACCAGGACCAGTTTACATGATGCTATTACAGTCTGTCCATCATAAAGGAAGTTAGGGCAGGAGCTCTAAACAGGAACTGAAGTAGAAGCATGGAAGATACTGCTTACTGGTTTGCTTCCCGTGCATGGCTCACTCAGCTTGTTTCTTTCCTTTGTTTTTGTTATTTGAGACAGGGTTTCTCTGTGTAGCCATGGCTGTCCTGGAATTCACTCTGTAGACCAGGCTAGCCTTAAACTCAGAAATTTGCCTTCTGAGTTCCTTTATCACTACCATAGCCCATCAGCTTGTTTTCTTATACAACCCACAATCACCATCCCGGGGTGGTACCACTGAAAATGAGCTGATTCCTTCCTACATCAATTATTGATCAAGAAAATGCCCCACAGACTTTCCTACAGGCCATGTGGTGAGGACAGCCCCTTAAGTAAGTAATCTCCTCCCTTCTCAAATGGCTGGTTCCTGACACATTGGCAAAAAACTAACTTGCACACTGACTCAGTTATATGGGAGGCAGTGGCCAGAGATTCAGTACTCAAAGACTTGAGCTTGCCAGCTGTTAGTAGGCAAATTGCCTGCTATCATTTTTGAAAATATTCTAGAGCACTTCGTTTATTCTGCTGAGGCTCTTTCTCAATACATTGTCATGTAGACCAGATTTCCCCCTTGGTTGCTCTTTTCTTGGGGAAGAAAAGTCTTTTTTCTTTTAGTTTGGCTTTAGCTTTTTGAGGCCAGATCTTCTTTAGCCTTGAAGTAAGGCTAAAAGAATTAAGTTATAAAACGACCATGGACTAGCAAAATAGTTCATGAGTAAAAGCACCACCAAGCCTAATGACCTGATTTCAGTCCATGGAACCCATAAGGTTGGAGGAGAGAATCAACTTCTGCAAGTTTTCCTAACTATGGCACAAATGTGCCTTCATACATACACACCAAATAAATAGATAGCTAAATAATATGACATCAAGTCAAGTGTGGTGACATGCTATTAACCTAACACTTGGGAGGTGGTGGCAGGAGGTCCAAGAATTCTGGGCCAGCCTAGACTGTATGAGACTAAATCTCAAGCAAAATTTAAGATGGCCATTGAAAGTCCACTCACTCCCCAGACAAAATCTTGTCCAAATTGTGAGTCAAGTATGAATCTAAATCTTAGGGGAGCTGGAGAGTTGACTTAGTAGTTGGAACACTTCTGTAAGATCCCAGATTAGTTTCCAGGACACATGGGTAACTCCAGGAGATCCAGTACTCTCTTCTGCTCTCTAAGAGCACCCTTACACACATGCATACACTCACATAGACATGACCCACACAGAAAGTAATTGTAAATCTTTAAACTGGCTTTAAGAACCACAAAATAGGGCTAGAGAGGCTCAGCAGTTAAGAGCACTGACTGCTCTTCCAAAGGACTCAGGTTCAATTCCCAGCACCCACATGGTGCTGTCTCTAACTCCCAAGATCTGACACCCTCACACAGACATGCAGGCAAAATACCAATACAGATGAAATAAAAGTAAATAAATTATTCACAAAAGCACAAAAGAGAGGGAATGAAGAAGGAATTTCATCAAAAGCAGTTTAAGTGTTAAAAGTTAACTTCTATAACAATCTGCATTCATCTTTGTTCCCCTGCACAAAAACTATTTTCCACAGTATAAAACTTAAGAGAATTGGCTATAGAAGGTTCATATGTCCTTTCCATGTTAAATTAGAGCTTTTCAAACAAGTATTACTGTTACTGCAATGTATCATGAATATCCACACACACACTTCTTAAATTCAGTGGGAGTGATGATGTGCAGATTATGTACATCTTGTTCAGTTTTCTGTAAAAGGGTTTTTTTTTGTTGTTGTTGTTGTTGTTTTGTTTTTGTTTTTTGTATAGACTAGGCTGGCCTTGAACTCAACCTGCCTTTGCCTCCCAAGTGGAAGGGGTCTTTTTGTAACCTGGGCTAGCCTCAAACTCATAACCTCAATGCTATGGCTCTGGTTTGTACCTCCCATTATGTTTTAATATTTGTATGTATTTGTGCATTGATCGACATATTTCACATACAAAAGAAGTCTGTATTTGAAGTCAAAATCCTGTGACTACTAGTATCATGAATTCAGCAAACTAGCTCTTAACTCAGGGAGGAACTGCTCTGTATTATCCGCTGACCTCTGCACTTGTTGGCTCCTTACAGGAGACTCCCATGCTCACGAAGATGGAAAAGCAAAAGCGCAAGGAGGAGGAGGAAGAACGGCAGCTCCTTCTGGCAGTACAGAAGAAGGAGCAGGAGCAGATGTTGAAAGAGGAGAGAAAGCGGGAATTGGAGGAAAAAGTCAAGGCAGTGGAAGGTATGTAGAGGCTCAAGGCGACTACTTTCATAGGTGCAATGGTATATGCTTAAGAAAGGTTTTTGTTTAAGTTTTTTGCATTATTTGGATTTTTGTTTTGCTTTTGATGGGCTGGCATGTAGCTTAGACTGACTTTGAACTCACTTTGAATAACTTTCCTGCCTCTACTTGCCAAGTGCTAAAATTAGAGATGGGTAGCACCACTCCCAAATTATGTGATGCTTGTACCCAGGACTTCCCTACATATTAGGCAAGCAGTCTATTCAACTGAACTAAATCTCCGTCCCAGATTTTTCTTTCATTAATCTTACTAGTGCCAGGGAGTTTGCTTAGACTCAACTCCAGTCTTAGTGTAGCAAGATAGATATATGTATGTTTGTTTGAGACACGGTCTCTCTGTGTAGCCATAATTTGGATCAGACTGATCTTGAATTAAAAGAGATCGACTTGCCTTTGCCTTTCAAGTGCTTGTCTATAGTTTTAAAAGCAAAGGGTAACAACTGTAGTTGCCTTCTTAGATAGCAGTAATATTTACCAGCTGTACTTGTTTAAATGTATACCAATGGTTTTCTCTCTTCATGTCCTCTTTTTCTCTCTCCTCAATATAGCTTACTTTTTATTTTATTTTTTAAATTAACAATACTACAATCTTGTTACAGGATATCTCTCTTTGTGTCTGTATGTCTCTCTCTTTCCCTCTGACCTGGTCTCATTATGTGGTCCAGGTTGACCTAGACCTAGACAGCAACCCTACTGCTTCAACCTTCCATGCACTGATTTTAGGTGTGAATAACCACACCCCCCTGAGACAGTTCTCCAAAGTGACTAGATCTGTGCCGTGCACTATCCTAGGTTTATGGGTTTAAGCAAAATAAGTTACTTTTGTGGAAATTATAAGCAAATATTGTATAATTATGGGTAGTTTTAACTGCTCAGAAGTAGATTCATGTAATCCTAGCATTTGGAAGAATTAGGCAGAAGATTCAAGAGTTAAGGTCTTGGCTGTATAGGAAGGTTGAGGCCAACCTGGTACATGAAGCCCTGTCTCAAAAAAAAAAAAAAAAAAAAAACCCAAAAAAACAAAACCAGCACTCAGGAGGCAGAGGCAGGCAGATCTCTGTGAGTTCAAGGCTAGCCTGGTCTGCAGATCGAGTTCCAGGACAGCCTCCAAAGCCACAGAGAAACCTGTCTCCAAAAAAAAAAAAGAGGTTAATGATTAAAGTGACATTTAACTGGGATTATCACAAACTCTGTCTGACATCGCACTTGAATAAAATGAATGAGGTTGCTTTGTGTATGTAACTGATGGTGGGCTCACAGAAGGCCCAGAGAGCAGCAAGTGCAAATGTTCATTTGAACTATGTCTTGGGTATAGATCGAGCTAAGAGGAGAAAGCTCAGGGAAGAGCGGGCATGGCTATTGGCTCAAGGCAAGGAACTACCCCCAGAACTTTCCCATTTGGACCCAAATTCTCCAATGAGGGAAGAAAAGAAGACCAAGGACCTGTGAGTATTTATTAGTAGCAGCTGGCCATGTTAGTAAGCACTGCTCCCTGAAAAGCACTTGCTTAAGTTGGATCCCTGGGACCCACATGGTGGAGGGAGAGGACTGACTTGCAGGGACCATGATGGGCACACAATAAATAAGTGTAATTTTTTAAAATCATTTCTCGAGATGGCTCACTTCCTAGTCTTTCAGGATCACTGGAGTTGGATTCCCAGCATCCACGGGAAAGCTCGCAAGTGCCTTTAGCTCTAAGGGGTTCTGAAGCCTCTGGCCTCTGAGTACATCTATACTCATATAGACACACAGAGACACTTTTTGTGACTGGTGATGGCACACGCCTTTAACCCCAGCACTTGGTAGACAAAGTCAGCTGTATCTCAGCCTGATCTAGATAGGGTATTCCATGACAGCTAGGGCCAGTCCCAGAACAACCAAAACAGTTTCTTCCAACAAGTGTGGTAGTACATTTCTGCAACCCCAACTCTGTAGAGCTATGGCAGAATCTAAAACTTGTTAGCCTGGACTACATAAAATAACCCTGTCTTTATAAAAATAAAAATCCTGGTTAATAATTACAAAATCATAATAAAGTTCTGGTTCATTTAGGTCAATTCTTTTTTTTTTTTTTTTTTTTTTTTTTTTTTTTTATTCTGCCTAGCGCATTTTTCTGTGTATAATGTAATTTTTAACTTCATTTTATTTGCATGGTGTGAAGGTGTCAGATCCTCAGGAACTGGAGGAGCCATCAGTAGTGAGCCATCCTGTGGGTGCTGGGAATTGAACCCAGGTCCTCTGGAAGAGCAGCCAGTGTTTTTAACCACTTGAACCATCTCTCCAGCTCCACTTCTTTTTATAGATGGGGAATCTGATAGTCCTTTTTTTGCTATGGTCACCATTGCCATCCTCATGTTGTTTCCAGTGAGTGCTATCAGTCTGTTGGGAGGTCAGAGTTAACTAATGTCTTGTTTTGTGGTTCACAGCTTTGAGCTGGATGACGATTTCACTGCCATGTATAAAGGTTAGTTACTGTTCTCAGTTGTATTTCTGATGAACATCTTTTCGTGGGAATGTGTTAGTTATTTTCTCCTCTTTGGCTTTCAGTTCTAGATGTGGTAAAGGCTCACAAGGATTCATGGCCCTTCTTGGAACCTGTGGATGAATCTTATGCCCCTAACTATTACCAGATTATTAAGGTATCTTTGAAATTGTATTTAAGTGTGTGTATCTTGCTGGGGTTCTATATTAGTAATTTTTCTATCATAGTGACCTAGTGCCTATTTTGACTCCATAGTTCAAAGAGTAAAGTCCGTGGTAGCAGGCAGCTCTGTCTGTGGTACTAGGAACTTGTTCATATCTTGGTGGTCCACTTCCTCAACTAGGCCAGCTCTTAAAGGTTCCACAGCCTCATAAAGCAGCACTATTAGCTGGGAGACCAGCTATTCAAACTCAAGGATCTATGAGGTCAATTCATACCCAAACTATAACATTATTGTTTTATTTTTCTTTTGCTTTTATGTCCTCCTTTAAATCAGAACTACTAAATAGACACACACACACCCTTCTTTGTTAGGTTTGGTTTTGTTTTAAGACAGGGTACCATGTTTCCTTGTCTGGTCTGAAACTCACTATGTAGACCAGGCTGGCCTCAAACTCAGGAAGATTTGCCTGCCTCTGCCTCCTGAATGGTGGGATTAAAGGTGTGCGCCAATATTCTTAGCTACACAAGTTTGTGAAAAGTTTAAATGCCAGAGTCCCTTTCCCTCCTAGAAACTGATTAGGGATGGTGTGTAGTTTCTTGGTTTCATCTTGTTTTGAGACGTTTCATTGTTAACAAAACTGGCATGGAACTCAGTATGTAGCATAGGCTATCCTCAGACTTGTGTCAATTCTCCTGACTTGTAGTGCTGGGATTAAAGCCACTGTGTCCTTTATAAGCATTTTTTAATTAAAGTGTTATATGTCCTATTTTAGATCCCGATGGATATTTCAAGCATGGAGAAGAAATTAAATGGAGGTTTATATTGTACCAAGGAGGAATTTGTAAATGACATGAAGACCATGTTCAGGAATTGTCGAAAATACAATGGGGACAGTAGTGGTAGGTGGTGAGGGTCTTCTTGCTGGATGTATGTCTTCTGCACTGTTACAGTAGGAATAAAATGCTCTCTAGACATGCATCCTCTTGTCCTTCAGACTTCACTCTTGTATTCTGTTTTGAGATAGTCTCTGTAGCTCAAGCTTATCTTGAAGTTCTCTCTCTCTTAGATTTATTTATTATTATAAATGCAGTGTTATGCTTGCAGGCCAGAAGAGGGCACCAGATCTCATTATGGATAGTTGGGAACCACCATGTGGTTGCTGGAAATTGAACTCAGGACCTCTGGAAGAGCGGCCACACTCCCAACCGCTGAGCCATCTCTACAGACCCCCAGATTTTATTTGAAGTGGACATGGGTGTTTTTAATATACACCACCACATGTATGCCTGGTACCCACAGAGATCAGAATAGGGTATTGGATCCTCTAGAACTGTAGTTATGAATGGTTGTGATAAAGAGTCAAACTTAGACTCTTTTAACCTCTGAGCCACCTCTGTACCCCTACCTTGAGCTTCTGATTGCCAAATGTTAGAATTTCATGTGTGCCACCCTGCTGGTTCAAGGTTTTGCCTTAGGGGACTATAAACAGAATGTATACCAAAAGCCATAGGATTTGTTTTCCAGTTTTGCAAACAATGCCCCAGAAAATCTGGTCCAGCCTTCTGGATAAACAAAGTCTAGCAGTGGTCTGGTCTAGGCTGTCTTTGGGCCTACAGATAAGACTGAACTTGTGCTGTCTTGTTTTCACAGTAGATAGAATCTAATGCTTCCTGAATGCTCAGCAAGCATTCTACCACTAAGTAATATCCTTGGACTCCCTTTCTTAAATCATTTTGAAAAATGGCATCATAACTTTTCTAACGGTTCTGAAACTTGGGGCTATTCCTGTATCAACACAAAAATACTGTAGCCTAAAAAACAAAACAAATTCAATTGTAATAGTAGTTTTAGCAACTTAGCCAAAAAGAATTAAATTTTTACTAGTTTGAGGTAATGTATTAAGAGTCACCTTTATGTCACAGACCTTCAGCCTTGAGCAGAATACTAACAACATCTTCATCTTGTGTCCATAGTTGTACAGTGTAATATTGTCCAGAGGTATAGTAAATTCAGACTTTAACACACTAGCTTTCCTTATTATTGTCAATAACTGTCTTTTGTGTCTAGTGGAGTAGTATGTACCTAGAGATTAGTCCTCATGTCTTCTTCCTTCTAGAGTATACCAAGATGTCTGATAATTTAGAGCGGTGTTTCCATCGGGCCATGACAAAGCATTTCCCTGGTGAAGATGGAGACACAGATGAAGAATTTTGGATCAGAGAGGATGAAAAACGGGAGAAAAGGAGGAGTAGGGCTGGTCGAAGTAGCGGAAGCCATGTTTGGACCCGCTCTAGAGACTCAGAAGGATCCAGCAGGAAGCAGCCACCAGTGGAGAATGGAGGGAAATCGTTGCCCCCTGCACGCCGGGCTACCTCCTCAGGGGACGATCAGAGTAGCAGTTCTAATCAGCTCCCTCCAGAGATGGGCACATCCAATGGCCAAGGCTTTTCCCGCCCCTTGCATTGTGGCAGGGTGCCTAACCAAGCACCCCCTTTAAACCAGATGGTAAGGGAAAAAAAAAAAAAAATCTCCTTTAGTATTGTCTCCAAGCCAGTCTGTTTATAAAAATCAAAGGACTAGTAACTTGTATGGTCTATGGTCTTCAGATAACCACGGGACAGTGTTGCGACCCCTGCCCTTTAAAATTATTTTATTGCTACTTCATAACTCTATAATTTTATGAGTCATAATGTAAATATCTGATATGTGACCCCTATGTAAAGGCCATTTGACAACCCTGGGGTTACAACACACAGGTTGAGAACCACTGTCATAGATCATTTATTTTGGTTTTGGTCTTAGATACAGGGTCTCATTTAGTAGAAGCTGACCTTAGACTTGCTGTTGTAATGGAGGCTGAGGCTGGCCTTGAACTTCTGGTCTTTCACACATCCTGTCTCTGTGATCATTTAGACTCTCTTCTCTCTTAGTCCTTTAAATCATGTCTTCTCAAAGTGGGCAAAACTTGGGATCAGAAAGGCCTGATGATACAGTTCTTACCAGTATTCCTGGCTACTCTGGAAGGTTGAGTTTTGAAGATCACTTGAGTCCAGAAAGTTTAAGACTAACCCTGGGACACATAATGAGACCTCAATCTCAAAAAGGAAAGCAGAAGACATAAAGGACAGTGTATAGGCTACACATTATGTCTGAAACACTGAAATTTCATTATAAGGAGCTGGGGCTGGAGCTCAGTTGCTTGCCTAGCATGTGTGAAGTCACGTGATTGATCCCCAGCACAGCATCATAAGGGTATGGTAGTGTAAATCTGTAATGTGTGCACCAACTATGTCTCTTCACATATTAAATTAATTAAACTTCTTTTCTACTGAAGTTTGTCCCACTAGGTGAAGAATCTTTCCAGCTCTTAAGAGACAGAGACAACAAGACCAGAGAAGTTCAAGGTTATACTCAGTTACACAGCAAGTTTGAGACCAACCTGGCTTTAATAAAACCCTACCTCATAAATGTATAAATGAATAAGTAAATAATTATTATTATTATAGGATGTAGTTGGGTCCAGAATGCTTAAAACGGCTCTATTTGTGGTGGGGGAAAGATAAGAGAAATGCAGTCTCTTTTTTTCCTGGTGAGGAAGCTACTTTGAGATTGGGGCTATTCCTGGTGACAGGGTCACATTGATATCAATCCTTAGGGAATCCCCTGTCATCCTTTATGACTTGTCTTTCCTCATCCGCCTTTCTGTTTTACTCACTGCCTCCAGCAGCCAGCAGCGCCAGGAACATTTGGCTCTCTTCAAGGATCAGATCCCACCAACTTATATGGCTCCTCTCGAGTCCCAGAGGTGCCCCCAGGAGATCCTTTACAGCACCCACCCTTTGCCATACAGGTAAGTAGTCTGCACAAAGACTGCTGAGAAGGTTTTGTAAGCATGATTGAGAGACAGGCTCTTTTCACATTAAGTGTGATTCAGCCTCTTTACTGAAAAATCTGTTGAACTAGATGAAGGGTCTTTGCACTTCTGTCTTGTTCTGTGAATGTGTTTCTTACCTTTTCTGTCACCAGGCTCCAGTTGGAATTAGCAACCACCGAGGACCCCGGCTCAGTGCTCCTAAAGAGAAGATGTGTGAAGGTCTAACACACCTCTCCAAAATGGGATCACATCCCCCCTCCTTGCAACTTGGGCAGATGAATTGTCCCAGTCAAGATGGAAACATCTATCCACCAGCTCCATTCCAGGCAGGATTTATTCCTTCTAGGCATGGTGGGACTCCAGCCCGACCCCCAGACTTCCCTGAAAGCTCAGAAATTCCTCCTGGTCACATTTATCATTCATACAAGTACCTGAATCGAGTACACCCTGCTGTCTGGAATGGGAACCATGGTACTACAAACTCAGGACGTTTGGGGCCAGATGAGAAGCCCCACTTGGGACCAGGACCCTCTCACCACCCTCATACCCTTGGTCATGTGATGGATGCCCGAGTGATGAGACCACCTATCCCACCAAACCAGTGGGCTAAACAATCAAGCTTTCTACCTCATGGAGTTCCTTCCTCGGGGTACATGCAACCACCCTGTAAGTCTGCTGGACATCGGTTGCAGACACCTCCAGCTCCAAGTCCTCTGTTCGGGGGACCCTCCCAGGCTCTCCGGGGGGTCCAAGGAGGGGAATCCATGATGGACAGCCCTGAAATGATCGCCATGCAACAGCTCTCCTCCCGAGTCTGTCCCCCAGGTGTGCCTTACCACCCCCGCCAGCCTACTCCTCCCCAGTTACCTGGTCCCTTTCCACAGGTAGCTCATTCAGCATCAGTGTGTGTGTCAGCCCCCAAGCCTGCTTTGGACAACCCTGGGAGCACACAGGATGTCGGTGAAACACAAGAGCCTGAGAATGACAGGGGTAATTTACAGTCTTTTTTTCCTTTTCTTCCCCCCCCCCCTGACTTTTGTGTGTCGATTCTTGAGTACTCTTTTCATATAGAATATGAAGATAACATATAAAGTGAGACACTCTTTTAGGAACTTTTGAGACAGGATCTCTCTGGCTTTCTTGGAACTTTGTAGGCTGACTTCAAACTCACAGAGATCCCCCTGCCCCTCTGCCTCCCAGTGTTGGAATCAAAAGTGCACCACCATGTCCAGCCTCTTTTTAACTTTTTTGTGTAAGCTAGTTTATGTAAGCTTGTTTCAAGGCCAGCCTGGTCTACAAAGTGAGTGCTAGGACTGTTACATAGAAAAACCCTGTCTCAAAAAACCAAAAAACCAAAAAAAAAAAAAAAAAAAAGAACATGCCTTTATACAAGGTGTTACCAACATCCTTGGGTTTATTTTATTTGGTTTTTTGTTTGGTTTCGTTTTGTTTTTTTAAAGATTTATTTACTTACTAGGTGTACAAATGTTCTGCCTGCATGTATGCCTGCAGGCCAGTGGAGGGCACCAGATCTCATTATAGATGGTTGTGAGCCACCATATGGTTGCTAGGAATTGAACTCAGAACCTTTCAAAGAACAGGCAGTGCTTTCTCCAGCCCTATTTTGTTTTTAATTGGGGAGGAGGAGTACCTTGTAAGGAGTTAGTTTTCTATTACTGTGAGACCAGGGACTGCTCTTAGGTTTTCAGGCTTGTCAGGTGCCCTTACTGGATGAGGCATCTTGAATGCCCTGGTTAGGTCTCTTGCTGTACTTTAAACCCATGATCTCCTCATCCCTCCCATCTCCCAAGTTCTGGGATCATAGGCTCATACCACCATGCCCAGTCTCAATGTGTGTGTGTGTGTGTGTGTGTGTGTGTGTGTGTGTGTGTGTGTGTGTGTCTGTCTGTCTGTCTGTGCTATTTTGTTTTGAGTTCAAGTATAATTTTATAGTTTAAAAGAAAAAACACAGAGCAGCCTAGCTTTAAAACCTCAGCTGCTGCCCAATGGAGGAGAGAAGGAAAACCCATGCCAAGGCTGGTATGGAAATCAGACACATGGCAGCAAGCAATAATACAGTGGGGAGGGAAGCTTTAGAGAAAGAGTAAGGAACCCCTAAGTATTGGGAGTGGTTAAAAAAAAGCATTGCTTAAGTAGAAAAGAGAAAATCAGCCTGGAAGTGGTGGCACACACCTTTAATCTTAGTACCCAGGAGGCAGAAGCAGGAGAATCTCTGAGTTTGAGACCAGTCTAGTCTACAGGGCAGGATGAGGTCCAGGACAGTCTCCAGAGCTACACAGAGAAAAAGAAAAAGAGAGAAGAGAAAGACACATAGAAGAAAAAGTTACACCTGTCTGAATAATTCAAAAACTGTAGCAGACTGGCAGCCCTTGTATGGCTGTTGCCTCTAAGCTTCAGTCCAGTATCTTTGTTTACAGTTAAAATCCAAGGCACAGTGGATTGCTGTTTGCTAGTGTTAGAGCTGAATTTGAGCCTGTACTGGTAGAGAGCAACGTCATGTTCTTTGTGTAGTTTATGTGTGAGTTGTGAGCCTTTGTCACTCACTGTATGTGCTCCGTGTATGTGCAGGAGCCTGTAGAAGCCAAAAGAGGGCATCAGATTACTTGGTGCAGAAGTTAACAGGTTGCCGTCTGGGTGCTAGGAACTGAATCCAGATCCTCTGCACAGCAGTAAGCACTCTTAACCCTGAACCGTCTTTCCAGCCTTGGCAGTCGTCTTATGCAGTCTCTTGTACAGTCTCGTCTTGTCTTTTCTCTGTTGTTGGGTTTTTGTTTGTTGTTGTTTGTTTGTTTGTTCTGTTGGTTTTTTGAGGCAGGGTTTCTCTGTAGCTTTGAAGCCTGTCCTGGAACTCACTCTGTAGACGAGGCTGGTATCGAATTCATAGAGATCCGCCTGCCTCTGTCTCTTGAGTGCTGGGATTAAAGGTGTGAGCCACCACCACTGCCTGGCCAGCATTCCCCGTCACAGTGCCTCTTAAAGCATGATGATCTTGAAAGTCATTATGAAAATATTTTCAATGTCTCCAATACATAACAGTGAAGGACAGTGAATTCTAGTAAAGGTTGAAGCAGTTTCTCAGTAGTAATGCTGAAAGATAAAACTGAAAGAGAATAATCTTTTCTTGCTTACTTGTATGTTCAGTATATAATGTATGTGATTTTGTTTAATACTTGGCTGTGGAATGGAGTCACTTGAATTTTTATGGAAATAGATGAAAATCCACATAAAATTGATACTAGATCTGTAACTCAGACTTCTTGGCATCTTGCTGCTCTTGAGTGTTAACAACACTGGAGAGGCCAAGACTTAGGCATTTCTTTAGTAACATAGATGTGCTGTGTTCTGCCTACAAAGACCCCCTAATATGACACCTTTCAGAGATTCCCTGTGTCACGGTATCTATCTGAGATTTAAATTGCTGAATGTTGCCTGGTGGTGGTGGTGCACACCTTTAATCTCAGCACTCAGGACTGCAGCAGGTGGATCTCTGAGTTCAAGGTAAACCTGGTCTACAGAGTTCCGGGACAACCATAACTGTTACATAGATAAACTTTGTCTTGGGAAAAAAAAAAAAAAGAAGAAATTGCTGAATGTCATCTCAGCCTTGACCCTGATCATCTATCTGTTTACCATATTCTTTCCATTACTGTATCCCGTGCTGTTGTCATTTCAACAACTGATTGGCTGTTTCGTTCTTCTCTTTCCCCAGCAGAGCCTTTGCCTGGGCTTGAAGAGAAAACAGCAAGTGTTTGTGCTTCAGAGGGTGTATACCTCAAACAGCTACCTCACCTGACACCTCCCCTGCAAGCCAACTGTACCAGGCAAAGCTCACCACAAGAAAGGGAAACAGAGGACTCAGAACTCAAAAGTGATGCTTCAGAAACTGCAGACAATTATAAAGCATCAAAGAGCAAGAACACCTGGCCTTTGGATAATAGCTACACCAGCCCACCTGTGCAAGGTTGTTTGAGAGACGTCTCCATAGTGGCAGACAGAGGGACTCTACCTGAAAATGGGGTTGTTGATGAAGCATCTCCTTGTAGGTCAGAGGGGAAGGGTCTTGGTGGCAGTGGTTCAGAAAAGCCACTCTGCCCCAGAGGTAAAACATTGCAGGAAACCATGCCCTGTACAGGACAGAATTCCGCAACACCTCCTAGAACAGATCCCAATTTGATGGCAGGCACTGTAAATCAGTTTTCTCCCTTATACATGCCTGGTCTAGAATATTCTAATTCAGCTACACATTACCATATGAATTCAGGTCTGCAAGGCTTGGGCTCTGTGATGGGAGGAAAGTCCCCAGGATCACATCCTCAGCCCTTCTCCCCCAGAGGGTTCCAGCCTAACAATCCCCATCCTGGACTCTTTCCCCAATATCGCTCCCAGCAGGGAATGAGGTATGCCTACCAGCCATCTTCTCAGCCCTCCTACCATCCCTATCAGCGGACTCCTTATTACACCTGTCCACAGGGCTTTTCTGATTGGCAGAGATCTCTCCCTTCCCAGAGAAGCCCAAGTGGGCCCCCAGGGAGTCACCCCCCACGTCCTTTCTTCTCAGATAAGAATGCCTTGTCTAGCCTGCAAGGTTGTGAGACACTCAATGCTGCCTTAACTTCTCCAACTCAAGTGGATACAGTGGCTGCTAAAGTTGTCCCATCTGATGGACAGAATCCTGGTCCAGAGGAAGAAAAGCTGGATGAATCTGTGGAGAGGCCAGAGAGTCCCAAAGAGTTTCTAGATCTGGACAACCATAATGCAGCTACGAAGCGGCAGAGCTCGCTGTCCACCAGTGACTATCTTTATGGAGCTCCACCTCCATCTCTGAGTTCAGGAATGACTTTCGGCTCGCCTGCTTTCCCACCCCACAGTGTGATGCTGCAGACAGGGTCTCCTTATACTCCTCAGCGTCCACCTAGTCATTTTCAGCCCCGGGCATACCCATCCCCTGTGGCTGCCCATCCACCTCCCCATCCAGTGGCCCCCCAGCCCAATGGCCTCTCTCCAGAGGGCCCCCTCTACCGATGCCAGGAAGAGGGCTTAGGTCACTTTCAGGCTACAATGATGGAGCACACTGGCACTGGAAGCGGAATGAGAGGATCTTTCCACGAAGTGCACAGACCATCAGGGTAAGAATGCATTAGGGTTCTCTGTCCAAGCTGAAGAAATAGATGTAAATTATGACTTGATGGATATTAGATTGTAGTTTTACCTTTGACATTTTCTTCCGTTGCTGAAAATGAATCAACATTTGTGCTCATTTTTGAGGTAGTAGATAGCTAACTCTAGAGCTTACTTTCTCTGTGAATTCGTATTTAAATGATTAGATTGCTTGTTATTTTAAAAAATAGAAAAGATTTGAAGGTGTTTGTTTTTTGAAATGGGTGCACAGTGTAGCCCATGCTACCCTCAAACTCTGAGGGACCATCCTCCCTCAGCCTTGAGAACTGAGATTACAGGTGTGCAACCACTGTGCTTGGCTTAATAATTAGAGTTTGAAAGCTGTGGGCAGAATCTGGTCAGCCTTGCTGCTTAGTTGACTTGACACTGACCAGGATAAAGAGGATCTGCCTTAGGAAGCCTGCATATGTGGGTTATGTTTTGCTTCTTACCTCATTTCCTCCCTATTGTTGCTCCCCCCCACACACAAAAAAAAAAAGGTGGAACAAGTCAAATGATATTCTCATGTGACTTTGTCAACGCATAGGTTGGTGGTGGTGCCTTTAAGAAACCTATACAGAACTGGGCAGTGGTGGCGCAGTCCTTTAGTCCAGCTCTGGGGAGGCAGAAGCAGGCAGATCTCTGTGAGTTCAAGGCCAGCCTGGTCTCCAGAGCGAGTTCCAAAGAAAGAAAAGAAGGGAGGGAAGAAAGAAAAAGTCTAGTAAAGTTGTTTATAAGATTATAAAGCCTAATCATTGTACCATTCAATTTAAAAGCCGGTGTGACCCTGTCACTGCTACCCCATCTTAACATCATTTGTTACTTTTGTGATTGTTTTTGTCTACTTGTTTGAGATAGGATTTTGATCAGTAGCCCAGTCTGGCCTGAAACTCAGTCTTCTTGCCTCAGCCTCCCCAGTGCTGGAATTTACAGGTGTGTGCCACAGTTATTCACTCTCACAGTTTACATTTGCCTGCTTGTTCAGGGCTTGGGGGTGGGGGGGGCATTATCATTGTTTGGTTTTATGTTGAAGGGTATTTTTTTTTTTTTTTAGACAGTATTCCTCTATGTAGTTCTGACTGTCTGGAACTCTCAGTATAGACCAGGGTGGCCTTTAAATTCACAGAGGTCCCGTTCTGCCTCCCAAATGCTGGGAATAAAGGTGTGTGCTACCACCCCAGCTTGTTTTTGTTTTTAAGGCAGGGTCTTATTGTATAACTATGACCTAGAACTCCATATGTAGTTCAGGCATTTGACTTGCCTGCTAGTTCTGTACATCTCTAAGTAATTGCTTGTGTTTGGTTGGTTTTCTTTGCCTTTTCTTTAAACCACCATAGCTTATATTGCAGCCTTAAGTACCTTAGCATGTATCACTTGAGCCTCAGGACACTGCCCTGTAGCACCGTCTCAAAGTGGAAGTACCACACCCAAGAGAAATACAGTGGTCACTTACATGTCCTTGCTCCTCTGTGTCCTTGGGATGTCTTTCAGAGATTTGCTTTTTCTCTTCCTTTTGACTTCTTTTTGCTTCAGAATTCAGTGAATTCAGTCTAGGCTCAGTATTCATTTCATTTTGTTATTATGTCTGTTTAATCTCTATATAAATCTTTAATAATGTTTGTTTCAGGCTAGTTCTCCAAAGAGTGTTCCTAATGCTAGGTTTGGTTCATTGGCCCCTATGTTTATGCTCTAGTGTGCTTGGCTTAGGTATTTGCTGTTTCACCCCAGGAAGCATGTTATTATTCCATTTTGTCCCAGTATTGATGATTCCAAATTTACCAGCTGGCTAATTATAGCAATGTCTTTGTGACTTAAGTATCTGTTCTCCTAGTAGGTCCTCATTAACACTTAACTGTCCCTTTCTTCTGGCTGTAGAATGCACATGCATCCAATCCAGTCACAGTCCTTATTCCCAAAGACCCCAGCACCTGTATCGTCACCGGAACAGTTGCCACCACATAAGCCCCCAACACTTCCTCTGGATCAGGTAAGAATTACTAAAAACTGGAGCATTTCCTAACCCTTGCAGGTGTAAAGAATAGATGTATATTGAGTACATTGGGCTTCTAGGTACTTCAGATTTCAAGTTTTAGGTGTTGGGATATTTACATAGACTTTACTAGTTGATTTAATGTAAAACCTGAAGCCTAAAATGCTGTAGGATGTGACTTTTTTAGCTGTTACATCCAGACTTAAAATTTATTTCAATGGTGTGTGATGGTGTATGCCTTTAATCCCAGCACTTGAGAGGCAAAGGCAGGTGCCCTCTTGAGTTTTGAGGACAGCCTGGTCTACAGAGTGAGTTATAGGAAGTTGTGAGCTGCCATGTGGGTACTGGGAATTGAACCCTGATCCTTTGGAAGAGCAGCTAATTCTCTTAACTACTGAGCCATCTCTCTAGACCCAAGGAAACCCAGTCTTAAAAGAAAAATCTGGGGTCCCAATAGTGGAGTAAAGAATATTTAGTCTGAAGAGATGGCTCAGTGGTTACAGGCACTGGCTGCTCTTCCAGAGGATCCAGGTTCAATTCCCAGCAACCACAGTGGCAGCTAACAACTGTAACTGTCTGTAACTCCAGTTTTATACCAATACATATTTTAAAAAAAAAAGTCATTCAACCTGTACCTAACCTTGTTATTCTGAGAATAGAGGTGGTTGGTTTTTAGTAGGGCCTGAATAGTTTTATGTTCCTGCATTTTTAGGATGCTGGAGAGTCCAGCCCTAGGGATCATGAATCCTAGCTGTGTGCTAGGATTATTCCTGTATTACATGTGCGGTGTTAGGGATTGTTTTTGTCTGTTTATGAGGCAAATTCACTTATGTAACCTTAAACTTGCTTCTACCTCCCAAGTGCTAGGTTCACAAATGTACATCTATACTGACTACTTTTAATTTTCCCACCTCCCCCCAACTACTAAGCACCAGAACCTAAGTCTAAATAGGAAGCCCAGGACTCAGGCCAGCTTCTGGGGTAAACCAGCAGTATAGGCAAGCCTATGTGGGTTTTCTGACATATTGTTAGCCAATTGATGTGATTGACTATTTTTTGTTACTTTCAGAGCTAGTCCAAGGAGGAAATAACCCCCATGGGAATGGACAGCTGCATGTGAAGACATCCAGGCCTTTGGAGGATTTGGAGGATGATTTTTGTAGGCTCGTGTTCTGCTATCCTGCTCCACCTCTTCTGTGAATCATACCATCCTCAGCTTGAACTGCTGGGCTTTAGATGCACACTCTGTAAATGACTGACTGACAGGGCCCATGGCTGGGATCAGCTGCACAGCTGACTACTTAGCAAGAGCAAGTTCTTGGAGTTCTTGCTGGCTCCTCCAAATCTCAAGACTCTGTTCAGGGAAAATCACTTTAAACTTGGGTGGAGGGTACATGTAAGGATGGAGTGGTGCTCCTAAACTTTCATGAGCAGCTAATCTCAGGTATATATTTGGGAAAGGGACTACTTGTAGTATTAATGTGTTTGGAGCTGGGTCCAGTTTACAGAATTTTCATGTTGCCTCTTTTGTTTTTGTTTTTTTGGGGGATTTTTTTTTGTTTGTTTGTTTGTTTTGTTTTTGTTTTGCTTTTTTTTGGTGAATGTATTGTATATAGAGTGGGACAGCCAGGTGGGCACATGGAGGAGCTGGGAGTCCTTCCCAAGTGGGGCAGGCACACAGTACTGGAGTAGTGTCTGTCAGGTCACACTGAAGCTTGTGGAGCTTGGGAAAGAGACCTGGAAGGTTTCAGTGTGTGTGTGTCACTAACTTGTTTTCCTAGTAGCCTCCTTTCCAGCAAGCCTCCGAGGACTTACTATAGTCATCCTCAGCGTTTATTTCCCAGTTTGTTGTATAGCCTACTGGGTGTTTCTTAAGCCAGAAGGCAGGCTGCTCTCACCTTGGTGGCCCAGGTTCTGGATTTGGGAAAGTATGTCCCTTCCTGATTTTTCCACCAGCTCTACCAGATAGTTGTAAACCAGTAATTTGGGCTCTTTAGAGTGTTTTACTTATTAGAAGTGGTTTCTTCATGGGCCTGTTAGGCCTGTGGTCTAGAAGCCATCACACAACGCTTTCTAGCACAAATTGTGTTTTGTGAAAGTGACTACTCAGGTTTGTTATATATGTTAGTCTCAATAAAGAAATTGCACAGGTTTGAATAAGGAAAGTATATTCTATAGATTTAAATTTGAATTTAGGACTATTACAGTATGTATAGTTTTTATTCAGTTTAAGAGAATCATAGTAGCCTCAGTTGTATTGATTTAAAGTAGCTGTCAAGGGCTAGTTCTTGGAAATTATTTGTTGTGTCTGTCATAGGAAACAATTTACAGTATTACATTACTATGGATTTAGAAGTGAATTACACTGGATTCTCCCTGCTGTAGCCTTCTACATTTTCTTTTAGCTGAGATATCACCAAAGTTAGGACCTATGTTTAAATTTTTTAATGTCTCACACAAAATAAAACCAAGGGAAATGCCCTGGAGTTGCAAGTCTCTGTAAAAGAATATAACTTTGGGGTGGTAGAGATCTCCATAAAATACCTTTCTGCCCTAGATTCTTCTTAGAAGTTTAGGTGTGGAAATTTCCCTCCAGCCCCAGCATCCACAGTAAATGCAGAATAGTCTGCCAAATATTGTGAAGAGGGAAGGAAAAGAAACTGGAAACATCTAGGTTGTAGAGATAATTGGACCCTAGAACACCTGCTCTCCATAGCAGTGACTGCTTACTAGCCTGCTGGTGGTGCTGACCCCTGTAGTATCTTCCAGGTATGCACACACAAATAGGCAATTTTCTTTCCAAAAAAATTTGTTTTAATTCTAAATCAACGGAATTAGAAGCCTAAAAACTTAACATGATCCAGTTTAGAATGTAAAAAGGTCAGATTTGTTAGGTGGCTCTTGGTCTGCTGTTTCTGTACTTGCCGCCATAGCAGAGGCCTGTAACATGTCACCAGGAATGCTACAGCCCTCAGGCCTCTTTCAAGGTGCTAAAACTGGAGGGAGGTCACTAAGCTGAGTGCATTCTGCTTCCACCTCTCCACCTCACCCCGTTACCTGTTTCTAATGAAATGCTGTGAATGGCACTGGGGAGCAAGGAATTGGTGAGTTCCTTAATCCCTTAGCTTCTTGAGAAAATTAAATAGAAAACTGAGCTACTGTATTAAGTTCTAACACTCTGAGAAGAACCTGTTGTGTCCTGTGTGGGAATTGGGTGGTGCCTAGTGTTTACAGAACCTAGTCCTGTAGGTTCTTCCTCTGGTCTGGCCCCAACATTTTTTGGTCTTTGAAGAACTAGGTCCCTTGGAGCAGCCAGAACAAAATGCTACACTTCTGTGAGCCCCTCATCCACTGGAGTGCAGAGAAAAGCAATTGTTTCCGCCTTTCTCCCAGCACTTCTCTTCCTGGTGTCTTTGGCAGATGCAAATAACCTCATTTGCAGTCTTCAGTAGGAAGTGGTGGTTATTCAAGATGTAATGATTAGAAAGTAGTAAGTAAAGGTGTCTTAAGAGATTCACTCTTGGACTAGGACCTGTATCCACTGGTCACCATGACCTTGTCATTGTCACTATGTTGACTCCATGGTCCCCAGAAGGACATAGCTGCGCATAATTGGAAGCATTCTTTGATTTAGTGTTAGACTTACCTTTATCAGACTTAGTCATAACTCTGAAACCTTAGGGTCTCTACAGATGTGTGGTGGTGCAGGCCTTTAATCCCAGCACTCGGGGAGGCAGAGGCAGATGGATCTCTGTGAGTTTGAAGCCATCCTGGTCTACAGAGCTATTTCCAGGACAGCCTCCAAAGCTACAGAGAAACCTGTCTCAAAAAACAAAACACCCCTAGGACCTAAAAGAAACAAGATTCAGAAAGTAGAGCCTTTTAGAAGGTTTATGGGTATATGTCTTTGTCCCTCAACCCCAGTCCTGCTGTGAAATCTGTTTCTTTTTACCAAAATAAATAAATAAATAACAGGGCTAAAATTCCTTGCTTAGAAGAATGTGAAGAATAGATCAAAATATGCAGCGTTCTTGTTCATGTAACTTTATCCCATCTTAAAAATAAAGGGACAGCCACTCTGCCTTCTGAGCCAGATTGGTTTTGGGTCATCTGGTAGTACACCTGACTAAGGCTGTACTGATCCCAGGCCCCAAGCCAGCTGCCCTCAAAAAATAAAGCTCATGCTAGTCCTTATATTAAACTGTGTGTGGTCTCCACCCCTCAGCTCAATCAGATTTCAACTTTGAATGTCAATTACACTAGCCTTCCTCTTGACTGTCGTCCATTTGGTGTTATTGTCCAAAAGCATTTGTTTGTTGTATGGCTGGTGTGTATGTTAATTTCTACTGGCAGCAAAAGGTATGCATGTTAAATGCATCCTTAAACACAAAGATATCCCATTGTAGTTCTTACCAAGTTTATCACCAACAAGACTTCAAGTCAGAGCACTTGGTCAAACATTTTCTTTTAATGAATATTCAAGTCCGTAAGTGATAAACTGCTCTTTAAACCTAATTTGGGGGGCTGGTGGTATAGGTCTGTGGTACCATTTGCCTAGCATGTGCAGGGTTCTGTTCAATCCCTAAACTACAAAATAAAACAGACCTAAGACAGGTCTGCTGGTATGGGCCTGTAATCCCAACTCTTGAAAACCTGGGGCAGATGGATCACAAGTTCAAGCTTGCCTGGGCAACTTAGTAAAATGCTATCTCAAAAATGAAAAGAAGGGGTATAACTCAGTGGTTAGAGATCTTGTGCAGCATGCATGAGGTCCTGTCTTCAATTCCTAGTACCACAGACACAATTGAAATTCATGGGAAGGTTTAATCCAAAGTCCTGAACCCAAGGGCAAGTGTCAAAATCCTCATGTGTTTCAGACAACCTCATTTGGTCTTGAATTCTTCACAGTTCACTTTTTGGTCAGATTCCTAACCCTGTTGTAGAATTCCCTTCTATGTATCCATGAATGTTCAGTTCTGAGGATTTCTGGAATGGGGGTAGTAGCTCTTGTGAACAGCTATGGCAAGGATACTTGGTATTTGGGTGGACCGTGCTTACAGCACTAATTTAGTACAAATGTGAGCTGAGCATGGTAGCCCAGGCCTCTAATCCCAGCAGGTAGACTGATCTCTGCTTGGTCTAGCTCCAGGCCAGCCAAAGCTCTACATAGTGAGACCTACCCAAACAAACAGAACCCTACACAAAGTACAGATGGTGATGAATGTGATTGAGACTTGGAGGTGAGAAAGCACTGGCCTACGTTTCTTTGTTCAGTGACTGGACTCTGTAGTCTCAGGACCTGAGGTAGACCTTCCATTGAGAAGATAGGCTGCATCTCCACTCAGCAAGGCTGACACAAGCTTTGCTCTTGATCCCTCTCTGCCTGTTAGTCTTGGGTTAAACAAACACACTCTCTGGGTGAGATGGGGCATTGAGCCTTGTGTTGTCTAGGCTTAAGTTGGCTGCTCTCATCCAATCCTCTCCCCTTGGGGTTCAATGGGAACAGCCATATGGATATTGAGTAATTTATTGAAATGCTGCCTTGCTCCACCTCATTTTGTAGCCTCTTTGGCCCCTTCATTTCCCTAAGCAGGAGGCATTTTTCATTTGATTATGGGTAGCTCCTGGGGGTCCCAGTCTGCTCCTCCAACCTGCACAGAGGGTAAGACATTTGTCTCCTGCTACAAAAGTGAACACCCTATGAACTATCCTGGCCAGTACTGGAAAGGGAATGGTATTTATTTTTATATTGTATATATTTTGTCATGGTCTGCTGGTTCCCTGTTTTCACTGAGAGCGACAATTACCTCATTAGTTAGTTTGATATTGTGTGTTGGATAATTTTTTGAAAGAACTTTTTTTAAAAGCTTTTTTGATCTTTGGAGATCTGTAGATTTATTTCCATATGAACTGGTTATTTTGTATAAAGTACATTGTTAAATTAGCAAGGCGTTGATGTGTATGCCTGGTGTGTATTCCTGTGTCACTTTTATCTTTAGGGCAGATGCCTATTTCATCAGAGCTTTGAGCTAGGCCACACTGCCACCACCTGAAAGCATCTACTTTGACCTCAATTAGATGCAGAAAATTTTCACAGTGGTATGGTCATATGTGCAGTCTACCAAATCATGGATGGGAGAAAGCCCATCACAGCTAGTTTGTGGCAACACCTCAGGCCTTTACACCTCACCCCAGCTACAGTACATGGGTGGTGATGAACATAGATGAGTCCTTACAGAGCCCTTGGTAGACATGGGCAGTCAGTTAATAGGGACCATAGATAACTAGCTTATAGTCATTCCAGTTAAAAGTATCCAGAAAAGGGAGCTGCAGCCCTAAGGCACTTGCTCTGTAGACCAGGCTGCCTTGGAACTCACAGAGACCCACCTATCTATCTGTGCCACCACTGCCCAGCTGAGGCCATAGCTTATGCTAACCCAGTTTTTATTTGTAGTTTCTGGGAACTGTTCTGGTGAAGTAGCTAGGTTCTTTTAATCAGCTTTGTCTTGAACCAAAGCTCCTGGCTGCTTTTATTCTTAGTAGGTCTGTAACTAATCCTCATTTCATAAAAACTCAACCATATGTGTGCCCACCTACAATCCCTGGATGTTGAAGCCTGCAGGACATTCAAGAGGTTGAGAACAGCTAGGATTCTGCATCCAGGCCTTGTCTCTCCTTGACCTTCACATGGGGTTCTGGTCAAACTTAGATTGGTGACCATAAAAGGTGAGCGTTTTCATCTGCTGAGCCATCTCTTCCGTCCAAGGCCTCTTCCAGAAAAACAAAACAGTCCTGAGAATGTATATATAAGACATGCTATGTCATTTTCTAGTGTGGTGTTCGCGTGTCTATATAATTTTAGAAACAAACTTTAGGATGAAAACCATTAGGAAACCCAGGTCTGGCATTATGCTGGTCACATTGTTCTGTCTGGTGATTGTTTCTGTAGAGTGAGGTGACAAAACACTGGTTTCCAGCCCCATGTGCTAGCTCATTAGAAACCCAGCCAAGCTGCATCACTGGCTTTTATGAACTGACAGCTGCTTCCTTGTGTGTACTATGACTTACATATTCTCCACTGAAAGCCTTCATGTTATAAGAATTCCTCAACAAAGAAAGCTAGATGATTAAAAAATTAGCTCTAGGGTTGGAGGAAGGGCTCAGGGTTAGTATTTGCTTCTCTGCAGGCACACCCACATGGCATCTAACAAGTGCCCAGAATACCAGTTCTAGAAGTTCCAGTGTCCACTTGTGATCATCATAGTGCACGTACATACAGGCAGAACACTTACATGTATCAATTAAAAATATTTAACAAAACAATTCTTAGGGCTTAATGTAAATCCTTGACTGTACCTTTTATGAGCAGCTGGGCCACTACCCCACCCCCCCACCCCCCCACCCCGATCCAGCTCCTGATAAGGCCAGGTGTGATGCATTCCTGTCCTATTAGCACTACAGAGGTAGAGGCAAAGTCGTCCTGCCTTTGTAGCCTAGAGCTTGGGCTGCAAGAGACTCCATCTCAAAACTGTTGTTTTCCACTGGGCAGCTTGGTTTTAAAACTTGCTAGAGCAGTTACCTGGATCCTGTGCTGTGAGCTTCCTTGTTAAAACTGGCACAGAAACAAAAAGGCACAAGTAGAATGTGGTTCAGGGAAGAGAGGGAGCTGTAATTTGCCTGTGAGCTGCTCTCCATTTTGGCCATTGGAGACTGAAGGCACTTGTCATCAGAGATGTCCTGTTTCTGGGGTCCCGTTAGAAGCAGCCCCTGCTGGCAGCTTTGCTCTAACCTACATAAAAGTGTTACAGTTGGGAAAACACCCAGGTGTGGATGGGGTGGGGGGGGGAGAATGGCCATTGGCCTGTGGTGGTTGCACAAGTGGTGTCTTTGTCAGGAAGGCTGTGGGCTCTTGCCTCCTGGGTGGTTGGAGATCTTGCCAGTTTAGCCAGAGGTGGCTGAGCTCTGAGCACCCATGCTGCAGCTGCCTGCCCTCACCCCCCACTTCGCTTTGGTAACTTGGCCTTGCTGATCTGTTGCCCTGGATTCAGTTCCTTGAGCTTTTGAGAGGACAATGTTTGTGTGTTTCTTTCAGTCTCCTTTGTGCCCACAAGGCTCACTTCTCTAGTTTCCTGAGGCAATTTTAGCCAGGGCTTTCAGTGCACAATGAACTGTGCAGTAGCAGCCAAGAAGGCAGCTGGGAAATGCCCAGATTGAGCTATTGTGTGCTGCAGTCCCTGCCCCTCTGCCTCCATGACAGGAATTTTAATTCAGGTGTCTTGAGACCATTTGAACAGTGGAAAAGCACAACTTGCTCCTAGAATCCTGTCAACTCATTCCTGACTGCACAGGACCAGTCTCCCTAATCTAGCCAGTTAGAGCTGGCCAGAGTGGTTTGAAGAAATGAAGCCTGTTCCTCAGGTTGTGTCTGGAGTTTTCACTGTGGGAAGGAATTAAATCTTATAGGAAGACCCAGCACAGCCTGGCCTCCAGTAACTGAGATGTGGAGTGACTCCTAACCAAGTTGTCAGTGAGTACAGTTGCCGTAGGCATCCTCAGGGATTGCCTCCAGGACCCCCATCTGCAGGTGCTAAAAGCCTTTCCCTGTGTTAGCTGGTGTTTGCATGTCGTCTATGTACATCTTCCTGTATATTGTCATCTGTAGGTTTCTTATAAAGTCTATGTAAATAGTAGTTAAAGATACTGCTTGGTGCTAACGAGAAAATGTTTGTACGTACTCAGCTAGAATCCCTCTCCCACATGTTTGCTGCAGTTTGTTGAATTCTCTTTGTGCATGGCAGGCACGGGCTGTTAGATATGCAGCATCTGCCTGGCACATTTTTTTTTTAAATTCAGAATAAAAAAGGGAAAAACTAAGTTCGTTTTCTCAGAGTTAGTAAGTACTGAGAGAGAAACCTGGCCTACAGCAAGGTGCATGGAAGGAGCGAGCATAGTTGAAGGCAATGAGTATTTTTGTTCCCTTTAGCTAATCACAGTAGGGGGCTCTTGTGCTTTCCTGTCATTTGACCTGCACAGACAGACCTCAGTGCACAGGCCAGGTGTGATCTATTGTGATGTTGGTCCGGGGATCTAGAC